TCTTCTTTCTCTCCCCTTCCTCTCTCTCTCACCCCTCCCTCTTCTTTCTCTCCCCTTCCTCTCCCTCTCCCCCCCCCCTCCCCTCTCTCTCTTCTCTCTCTCTCTCCCCTCTCTCTACCCTCTCGCTCTTCTCTCTCCCTGTCTCTCTCTCTCTCTCTTGCTCTTCTCTCTCTCTCTCTCGCTCTTCTGTCTCTCTCCCTCTCTCTCTTCTCTCTCTCTACCCTCTCTCTCTCTACCCTCTCTCTCTTCTCTCTCTCTCTACCCTCTCTCCACCCTCTCGCTCTTCTCTCTCTCTCTACCCTCTCTCTCACACTCACACTGACACACACACACACACTGTAAGTTTATTTGGGAACTGATGTCAGTAGTGTATATTCTGCGCATACTGTATTGTTACTGCAACCTACATCACCCACCCCATCTCAAAATATCACCCAAACTGCCCCCTTTGCTCTTCCCAAGACCTCCTGCTCTCCACCTCCTCACATGCTCACCTACAGGACTTTTCAAGAGTGTCTCCCATCCTCTGGACCGGATTCCACCTTTTGATAAATCATCCCACACAATTATTGCCTTTTGAATCACTTGCCCCTCCTACTAGATTGTAAGCTCTCATGAGCAGGGCCCTCTTACCTATTGTAATGACATTGTATTGTTAATTGTATTGTCTCCCTCAATTTTTTAAAGCACTGCGCAAACTGTTGGCGCTATATAAATCCTGTATAATAATAATATAAATACAATTTGAAGCAGAGATTGGATTGGCAATGTTAGGCCTTCAATATCCTGATTTATAAATTTAGCAATATTGGTAACAAAAATAATGCTCTCCTTATTCAATTACATTTACTACCAGACTGTTTTTCTCGTTATTATTGACATTCTTTGTATTGTATTTTCCATGCAGACTACTACACAAGGCCCAAGTGAATAAGCAGGAGATAGAGGCAGAACTTCAAGAAAGGGAAACGTTGAAAGATAAAATCTCTGCAGTGAACAAATCTGTCCGAGAAGTGTCCTCCAGCTTGGAGAATATGGAGATAACAGATGTCGTAGACAGAAAGGCATCATTAGAGGTTTGTATGACAGTCAACATTTCAGTACACCTTAAAGGGTTTCTAAACCCTCCGGTGTTTTTGCATATATCTACTGCTAGCAAGCAGTAGATATATGCAAAAAGTTTATTTTTTTAAACAAAATGCTTTAAAAGCGGTTTAAACTTATTCCTGTCTTCGCCGCGCGCTCCCGTCCAAAAATCCGAAAATGCGCGGGCGGCCGCAAAGCATCTTGGGGCGGGCGCATGCGCAGTTTGGATTTTCGGCCGGGAGACGGGGAGAGAGACGAGGTAAGTCTATGGGCGCGTGCACCCGCTTGCAGACACCGTGGGACAAGAAATACGAGCAAGGACAGAGGAGTCAGCGCTGGATCTGACACTCGCTGCAGCGCTGGAGAGAAGGCTGAAAACTGCAGGAAAGAAGATGAAGATCGGATTAATAGACATCATTTAAGGTAAGTGTTTTAATTAACATTGGGGGGAGGGAAAAAAACACTTTGCCTTTAATGTCACTTTAAAGCATAAATAAACCTAAAACGAAAATGTAATATATTGCAGCTTACCAGTCCAGCTTTAAATGCAATGGGGGGAATAGAGAGAAAAGTTGATTGGTTGCAATGCAAATCTACTCCAGATTTTGTCTGCCCCAGTTTTGATAAATTTCCGCAAATGTTTTGCAGCTTTAAATGATATATTTAACAGACCAAAAGGGAACAAAATATGAGAAGTTAATTGTTAAGGTTTACATCGTACACGGGTTACTCAAGTTGGCCACACACTGCTCAAATTTTGGCCGAGTCAGCGGCACGAAAAATCAATCATTGTCGGGTCTATCTCTTGCTTTCCCCCTACCCCTGTTTACTGCTTTTTCCTCCCACTTGGAGCAGCCCATGTACCCTTATCTAAAAAAGTGAATCTTTATACATTTTCTTCAGTAGACTTTGGTCTGGTCGTGTGAAGTCCATTGTATTTTCTTCTTTCAGAAGTGGGCAGTCTTAAAGGCTGTAGAGAGTGGTACCTCATAATGCCATTGCATCGCTCTTGGCAGTATTCTCCAGTACGCCCAGCAAGGCTGAATGACATTCCCTTAAGGGGAAAGATCTTGACGCCCTGCACTCACATGAAATGGGTTGAATGGCGCTGATGTAATTTAACCAAGAAGGCTGGTGACATCTAGTGGTGGAAATGAAGTACTGCAGGGTACAGCACCTGAGATAGGGCGAGTATTGCAGCCAGAGCTGCAGTGGCTAGAAAATTATTTTTTATGATGTTAGAGTTGGGCTTTACATTTTTTGTTTTACCTTTCTTTATTTACTATATTTATAAAATATTTGTTTTACAAATAAAAACAAGTATTATATACATATAAACATTTGGCAGTGTAACAGGTGGTGACTAGGTCTGTTTGAGACACCTGGATCGACTACTATCTAGACTGAAATACAGGTATTTGGTGGACTGACCCTTTAACTGTGTGGTCTATTCACAGCCAGTATTGTTCTCCGCATTGGTGCTTTCTCAAGTGTTACTGCAGACATTAACAATTATGTTCACAAGGGAGTGCTATCAATACGCATTCCTTCTCATTCATTCGTAGTCGTCGTAGTCGTCTGGTGCGTTGGCCAAGAGCCAGACCTGTTCAGCAGAGATACAAAACTCAGATAGACCAAAAGTTAATATTCATCAAAGTCTGAAAAGCACCGGACGGGAAATGTGCCCGTTTGTTTATATTTAAATAACACCCGCTGTGGAATGGGACTTCCAACCAGAGCACAGGCATTAGATTGTGTTCAGGGCTGACAGTAGAACACTTTCTTAAGTCAGCTTTCAGCAGCGTTTATTCTTCTCGCTGAATGAAAAGCTGTACTGATCGCTCTAATTATGTGAAAGACGACACTGTGGTCTCCAAGCTGCCTGATTATTGGATCACTATTGTGAGTCTTATTTTCTTTGAATGGTTCTTCGGCTCAGGTAAATGCGACAGTGGACAGTCCACATTTTTATTTTTTTTTAATGGGTGAATGCATTTTTTCTTATTGCTGGTGATTCTCAGTGATCGGTCAGTGTTCAAAAGAAGTCACGTGGGAAAGGCTGGGTATTTTCGTATAGAAGTAATAACAGTCATGTGTTACCTTATTTCAGGAACTTCTCAAGCTGGTCGGTTCAGAAAAGGAAAATACCTTGTTCAATATGGAGAAACTGCAAGACCAGTACACAGAAACAGTTCCTGAAGAGCTCCAATTATACGCTGAGCAGTGTCAAGAGAACCTGCGTGAGACAGAAGAGAAGGTAAGTCGTTTTACAGCATGGGACTCTATCGGCGCAATATAAATACCTGTAATAAATATATCAGGGATGTCTTGAAAAGAGCCACCCTTTTCTAAAAGAAGCAATATTTGTTCCATGTACGCAGTTATCGGCATGAAGTCATGTGCAAATAGCCTAGCCCTGCAGTAATAAGGAAGCAGTAATAGGAGAAATATAAAGAAAGGTGACACACCTCTTTCTGTGTTTAAATACTTCTAGCTTGCCTCTTACTGGAGACGCTTTCATCCTGCTGTATGTAATGGCAACAGCACAATAATAACAGAGAGAAGATGTTAAACTAGCTATTGTGATACATGTTCCTTTCAATTACCCTGCAAAATGAAAAAAAATATTCAGTACATCTCTGCAATACATGCACATTTTCCTATGTTTAGTAGTCCCTGCATGTACATAAAATACCTGTGGATCTTCCTGAACTTCAGTATTCTCCTAACTTCCTGTAGTGAGCTGAAAATGTCTGCTCTGATGTACTGAAATCCCGAGCCGTGTTGTCACCCCCATTCTGTTCTCAATGGAGGACTACACATGACCCCTTTCTTCATCTCCATTCTTCATCTGCTAAAAGTACAACCATCGTTAAAAATAGAACTCAAAATCAAACAGAGCATTCATTTATAATCAATGTTTTATTATTGCATATTCATTTTGGGCACACTGTTTGGCAAATAGCTCCTGTCCCAGATCAGTTATTGGGCTACCATATTCTCATAAGCTAACTTGCACTAACATGGTTTAGGACTATGGTAACACTTGCCACAATACTGTGTGATCCTGTTTAAGCTTTGATGAAGAGGGCATTGTTCCCCGCTTGTGAATTACTTAAGTGCCTTGGGTCTGCCATTGACAACTTGATAAATGCAAACCAATTAGAGCATCGCTTGCAATTTTTGGGGTGTTCCCGATGTGCCCGAAGGCGGTAATAAGTACTTCAGACACTCTCTTTATTAAAAAGGGATTTTCTGCAATTTACTAAAAAGCTCCCAGCAGATGGGTCCTGGCTGAAGGATCCAAAGTACCTCAAGATTTCCGCCATCAGAGTTGAGGAACATTTTTGCCAATAGTGGCTTGAGTTCTGAATTAATATGAAGCTATTTTTCTGAAATTCTCTCTAGTCTAGGGGACATAAGTGCTGGTCCTTGGCCTGCCATAATCTGACCTGTTTGTCCACCATTGTGTATAGATAAACTATTTAAGCTCCCTCTTTTGTATGTTTTTGTTTTAGATCAAAAATGAGATTGAGCAGTGCTCTCCACAGAATATTTTGACCCGAAAAGCTAATGAGATTACAGCTGAACTCAAAAGCATTGAGGCTCAGTTAGCAGTAAAAACTGAAAATATCTTCCAGGCTAAAGAAATTCAGAAGGTAAGACGTGAACCATCTGGCAGTGGCTTCCTGCAAGTGGCAGTATATGCCTATCTTCAGAAAAGCAGTTTGATAACTGCTACTGTGTCTTGTGCCTGTTGGGCAGGATAACCCCCTCACCTTGGTGGTGCACAGACTTAGTCATGCACACACATTGGAGGTTAGCTCTGCAATAAAAACTGTGAATGCTTACAGTACAGAAATGTGACCTTGTTAATGCTAATGTAAGAGCCTTCTTGCTCACTCTACTGCTCCTCAGAGCACCTGGAGTCAAGCAGCACACGTGTACACCAAAGATACGCTATGTTCAAAAGGCCCTAGAATTAACATGGTCCTTTTCTCTTTTGCAGAAAGTCTGGGATGAAGTGGACAGTTGGCACTCTAAGCTGCATGCACTAGAGTCGGAAGTTCAGGACATGGCAGAAGAAGACCCTAGCCTAGCTCACGAGTGGATGGATAAACTGACTGAACCATTAAATTGTTACCAGCGAGTTACTTACCTTGCTGAACGCAGAACAACTAATATAAACAAGGTGAGTGATTTGGGTGTGTTGTATTTAAACTTTTATTTCTAAGATGAGCATTATTGTTGTTCACAATACAGCTTTAACTATTGAAGTCTATTATCCATAGGATCAAAGTCTAGGTTGGTCTGGTTTTGTTAGAATTGTAACACACTTGCCTACCTTGGTTGCAGCTGTTGGCTTGATTATAACCTACAGTGTATGTAAACCCTAATAATGTTAGAGTGGGCATAGGTGAATATATGGGGTAACACATCCATATATATAGTTACACATAATAAGGATAAATAGAAGGATAATGGTCTTTTTAGGTATGCAGACACAAACTTTTTGTAATTTGTAAAATTCCTGATTTTATTAAGAAACAAATGTGACTTGCCTCTCTGCCAATCATGGAGTTCTGCCTGCTGCATTAAGCAGGGAGAACGCTTTGACATACTGCAGGCTCCACACCACAGTGTGTATTTTATGATTGGGCTGCAAAATGCAGGCCGCAGTGTGGAGTAACCTGTCAGAGTATAGCAGAGAGCACATACCCTGTTTCCCTGAAAATAAGACCTACCCCGATAATAAGACCTAGTACTATTTTTGGGAATTGCTAAAATATAAGACCTACCCCGAAAATAAGACCTAGTTGTGACCTTCCCCAGGGCCTGTGGTTGCATAAGGGGAAACTTGAAGAGCCGCGGGGGAGAATCAGCGGTGCCAACAAAGCCAGGGGTAGAGGAAGCGAGGCGGGAGCAGAGCCGCATAAGCCGATGCTTCCTCTATAGCGCTGGCTCCTGTCACAGGCGGAGTGATACCAAATGCACTCCTCCTGTGAGGAATGATCGTGAAAGCGCGCTTTGCTCATTCTGGCCAGCGATTGGTTACCAAATTGCTCTTGGAAAGGTACGACACCCCTGATTGCCCTGATCACCATATTCTTAACTTTTCCATTTTGAATTATTTAATTTGGATTTGCATTAATTTTGGATTGTTGGACATTAAAAGAAAATAAGACCTAGTGTGTTTTTTTGAGCCAAAAAAAATATAAGACAGTGTCTTATTTTCGGGGAAATACGTTAGCAATAATATCTCTCTGTTATAAATGAGCCCCTTGGTCCCTAAACATACCCATATAGTTGCTTTCATTCCAATATGAATTTTTTTTTGTGCTCTTTTTTGTTTTTCACCAAAACATGGCTATGATGTATCATGTAAGCGACCAAAACTTGAATGCTGACAAGCTATATGCTAAGAAATTGGAGATATGTGTCGAAATGTTTTTGCTCAATATCATTGAGCTGCAATAATGTGTTCTGTTGTCACCTAAAAGATTATATTTTTGTGACAGGCGGCTAGCAAGCTAGAAGAATATGAAGACACTTTTAAGAGCACTAAACTGTGGATCCAGAATACAGATGGTTTGTTAAATGAAGAGATGAAGGATTGCTCTGCCAAGATCTTAAATAAACACGTTAATGCTTTAGCGGTAAGAAAAATAGACAAGCGTATTTCATGTCAGTAAGGGTATAGGACTTTCCTCATCCTATTTACCACACACTGGAACCTGCAGCTTTTTGTTCTTCAGCTGTTAATTGGAGGCATAGTAGACTCCTGGCTTTGAAGCTTTGCCCCTAGGAGGATGAACAGTTGACCAAAAAAAGTAGAAAGTCTTTGTGCTTTCCCTTGTGGGCTATACCCCTCTGCACAGGAAGAGAGAGCTCAGTTTTAACTTCGTGTCTTAGGAGGTAGTATTTCATCTTGGTAAAATTTTGATTTGGATGCAATTGCATGGGAAAATAATTGTCACCACCACCGCAATAAAAATTGCAGTGGTGGTGATCTTTAAAGGGCAGTTCCACCCCAAATGGGTTGGTGGGGCTTTGTTCATTTCCCTTTGGGTTCCCATTGAAAATAATTCTTCAAGCCTGTAGCGTGGCTTGGGTAGGCTGAGGGACTCTTATTTCCTTGTTGAGAGTGAGGTCCCAAACAGCACATAATATTTGGAGAATTAATGATACCAGCCTTTCTCCAAAAATGTTTTTACGGTTTAAGTGTCTGTGAAGGTTCTCATTACGGTTTAATGGTTTACAGAGATTTTCAAGTATGGCTGAAGATATTAAGGAGTATGCGTTGCTTTTAAACCTTCATTCATTAACATTGCTGTTGCCCTATTGTCAGTAGTAGTGCTGCCAATCTTACTATAGTTAAATGACGGGGCTGAGCTTAATGTTCACTTGAAGAGAAGTTGAGGCACTGTGGTTGATTTACTAAAGGAGTAGAGCATATTCACTTTGCAATATACATTTTCACCTAGTTTAGCAAATGAAGTGAAAATTGACCCAGTTGAATACCCAATCACGTGCAAGGAAAATGGACGTGATTGGGTGATTTGAAGTTGGCGTCACCTTATTCACCAAGCCAAATAAATTGACATTTGCACAGTGAACTTTCACTTAGCTTTTGTTTTTTTGTTTTTTTTAGGTTCCTTGCACATAATTGGGTATTCAAAGTGAATACAGTTTCACCATACTCTCTAAGCTAAGTGAAAATTCTCTTTGTGCAGTGAACATACCTCACTCCTTTAGTAAATCACCCATACTGTGTGCAGCCTGGGTCTAGTGGCTCCACAGGCATCAGTTTAGAGAATAAAGCTGATTTTTTGGGGGGGTTATACAATAACAGGGACATAACTTGCCACTAATGAAGCATATTTCTGCCCTGCTGGCTGATGGTTCCTGTAGAAATACTCCCTTCATTGATGGTGTATCCTCTTCACAGTGTTAAACTTCCAGTTCTGTATGAGTTAACTGCTTATGCTGTAATAGTGAAGGAATCAACACCATTTGCCCTCCTCTTATGTCTCCATCACCCATTCACAAAATTTCTTGCATTCTTTTCAAAGCGTTCTATGAGTGGAAGAGGGGCATATGAATGATGGGATCCCTCTCCTTGACTCACAGAAGGCTTTGCATTAAAAAGAATGCAAAACATTCCGTGAATGGGCAAAGGGTGGAAGATCAAGGCCAGTGGCACCGATTCCTTCACTATTGCAGAAGAAGCAGTTAAGTCATACAGAGCCAGAAGTTCACCGCTGTGAAGAGGCTCCATCATCACTGAAGGGAGGATTTCCACAGGAACCCAGCAGTCAGCAGGACCAAGTCATACAGAGCCAGGAGCTCACCGCTGTGAAGAGTATCCATCATCACTGAAGGGAGGATTTGTACAGGTACCATCAGTCAGCAGCATGTAGGATATACTTCATTAGTGGTAAGTTATGTCCTATAAACATTTTTAACTAAACTTCAGCTTCAAAAAGGTATATCAAGGAAACCTTTACTGGGTAAGATAAGCAGGTTGCCATTGCTGATCTCCTGAAAATGCTAGTTGACTGGCTTTCTCTGGCTCTAGTACTTTTAGACATTAACCATAAAAGGTACATGAGGGTAACATTTATAATTCAACTAGCCTGACTGCCAAGCAACTAGTATTTTTAGAAAAATACATTTGCATTGGAAACATCAGAACTTCTTCACTACAGTATTGTTTTCAACACTGATGTTATCTTAGACACTTTTTAGACCAGCTTAGGTACACTTAAAGCTACTAATATGTTTTTGGATTGTGAACTCTTTGAGCAGATTGCACTGGATGATTCTGATGGGAAACATCAACTCCTGCACAACATCAGCTCTGAGCTAGGGGAACTTGCTGTCATCTGCAATACGGATAAGATTGTGGAAACCCTTGGTGAAGTAAGGAGCCAGGTGAAGGACCTTCAACAAAGAATTTTGAAAGTTCTCCTACAAATCCAACATTTGGCAAATGTAAGATCGTCACTCTGTTGTCATCCTTGGGCATGTGCAGTTATGTGTTCATGTTGATTATCCTTAACCTGTGAAATATCTTTTATTTCCGCTAGGGATGTTCAGATACTGGTGCCGATACTTGACATTTTCACGAGAACTACCAGGGTCACAACAGTTGCAGCTGTGACTGGGCCCTGGCGCTCCACCACGGTCCTGGAATCATTGCCTGCATTGTTTTAGAAAAACTGTCACATAACACTAAACAAAAATGTATCAGTAATTGTATCTGTGAGGACTTGGACAAGTATCGGTACTTGATCTTGAAAAAATGGTATCGGTGCATGTCTAATATATATCTCAAATCGTGCAGTACATTAAGACAGGGATGCACAGATCCCAGGAGCCCTGTATGCTCCTTAACAATGACAGCTGCCTTCTAACTTTTGAGTTTTTCTCTAGTCTAGTCTTGGAGCTAGAGAAGTATCTGTACTTATTCTTGGAATCTGGGCATCCCTAATTTCAGCCAATGCTACAAAAGATGTTGGCTATATGGCAAAATAAGTAAGGCAAATGTTGTACTTCCTGAAGCAAGGACCAGTTAAATTAGTCATGTCGTTATTAAAGAGGAACCTTACCCATATCTTTGAAATGACAACAAATACACCTTTGGAAATGTTTAGTGATGGCAATCCACAAACGGATACGTCTAGATAATTGCAGGATTTCTATTCCTTGCATACCTTTTTTTTCTTTTCCTCACACCATTCTTCTCACAGCGGCCATTTTTACTAAGGGCAGATTAATACATCTCCCTTTACTTCCTGGAACTCTGGCACATGTGACTAGGACATGTGACCATGCACATCATCTCAGGGGAGAAAAATGCATTTCCCTGAGATCTCATGCGATAACAGTTGAGTTTTCCAAGCAATGCACTGCTGATGTGACCTTCCCAGGATGCTTGGGCATAAGAAGAAGAGAAGTCATGGCAATTAGGCTTTAGCACATTAAATGTCATCCAGTAACGGTTTAGCTCTAACCAGGGATTACCAATGTACTGCTACTGATATAAACATACTACAGCCCACTACTAGAGTTCTGAAAATATTTCAGTAAGTAATAAGCACTAGAAAGCTTCCTTCCGACTCTAGTATCCAACTAGGTGGCTGCTGTTATACGATATGTTGCTGGGAGTAGGGAGACTTGACCAGTGGCAGATTTCAGGGCAGGAAAAGTGGTAAGGCAGCTTCAAATCATCTAAGCTAGACCCTACCCTGTGTGGATTCCGATGTAACTTTGGGATTAAAATATCTATTTCTCCAATTTTAGGAGGTTGGTTCCATCGAGGATGAAGTCAAAAGGATGGAAAAGAGATTGGGTTCTATTAGAACTATTTTGACATCCAATGATATTGATGATATGTCACCTATGGATCACCACAAGAATGGACAGGTAAGAGCTTCTACTTGATACAAAATAAGCAAATATCTAAAGCAATCTAGCCTTTAACCCCTGACTCTTAAGTGGTATAAAATTACATTTCATAGCACATGCCTGCACCAGGCTGAAGGCTGTGTTTCCCCATACCAGGTTATCCCTTTACATATCCACAGACATGTTTGTTTACACACATCCTTGGGAACATGTGCTATAATGTACAAGCTCTTGTGCATTCTAAAGTTGTTGTCACAACCTCCTGATGATAAATGATTTAAGGGATGAATACATCATCTCTCAGATGGCAAATGCGGTCATGGAACCGTGATCACATGACAATGAAAAAAAAGGGGCCACTAGACGATCTATAAGCACTTCTTACCCTGCCAAGAAAATGGGTAAGGGCATTTTTGAAACTCCAGTCATATAAATGCAAAATGTTCCTGCTTACCGGACATAAAAAAACAACTTGTAGACAGAAAATGAGTGCAGTAAACCAAAAGTCCGATCTGTTAGGAAACAATGTATTAGATGCAAGGGATTACTGAACTCTGCTGTTTGTGATAGCAAAAAAAAATCTGAGTCAGTCAAAAAAAGAATACCCCATGTCATATAAAGTCACTCCCTATTCACATTCCCTATCTCAAAACAGGGAAATATAGATGTAACATGAAACATGGTCATATTCCCCAGCCCCCAACCTTCAAACTGCCCTTTCCCACTTACTGAAATCGCAGGGTTTTTCTCCATTCAGCATTCTGTGGCTCAGCCCACACAGCCGTGTCACTGGATCTGTAAATGGAGAGACAAGTCCCATCTGCCACCACTGCCAAAGGAACCCGTAGATCTCAATGGAACACAAGTAATTATCCTTGTAGTCCATTGGTTATTTTCTCCAGACCCATTACTGAAGTTCCTTACCTGTGGACGGACCTATTGGCCAGTAAAGCAACAGTCATAGTGATGGGCCAATAGAAATTTAGGGGAAGTGGGAAGTAGCTGCAATCTCCAACACTACCCGGATTTTCATCAATTAGCTTGTCAGCATGGTTCCTCAGCATCTTATGTATAGATGTGATGACTAACACAGTGTATAGATGTGATGATTTACGGGACCATAGACTGCTGTAGAGGGGGCGAGACACTGGAAGGACCGGTCTAAGAAGCCGGCTCAAAGCATTGGGCGAGTATAACTTTTTTTGTTTTAACCTAGACACAAATGAGCACTTAACCCTTACAGTGGGGAGATAGCCCCACTGCAAGGGTTAATAAAAAAATTCCTGGAGTTCTGTAAAGCTGAACTTCAAGTAACTTTTAAATACAGATTAATACATCACTAAATGCATATTATTCAATGCAAGCAATGTAATTTAACTGATTTGACTTGGTATGAGCCTCTTTCATTCCCTGTACAGGGCAGTTCAATTAAAATAAGGTCTCTTGTCCTGTTAGTCAGGACTGTGCTGTGTGGTAGAGCTGTGTAAGTCCCAGAACAGGTTATACAGAATAACAAATCTTTTTGGCAGTTAAAACGGACCCCTTGTATGAATTTCATGTGTTCATTTTCTAAGAGTTCAGCTTTAACAGATCTCACTGCAGTTACCAAAATACTAATATTTCTAATTGGTTATTTAATTTTGCATATAATTATCATATTCTCCAATTGAGAGAGATGAAAAGCAGGAGCCGTGGCTTGCTTCAAGACTCCTTATTGCGGCTTCTTAGAAATGCTATAAATGCATAAGACCTTTTCACATGGAGCTCCATGATGAGTCTAGGCTGTCCTGCTTTTCCTTCATCATGATAAATTGTATGGTTGATTTACAGCAGTGGGCACCAAAACAAAGTAAGCAGGCCAAGGAAAGAGATTGGTCCCTGGTGACAGCTTGTCTCCTGTTGAATTCACTGTCTCCTGTGCCTAGTCTGCTGTAAATGCATTTGCCATTTTAAAGAAAGGTCTTATTTAATTAATCTCCTAATATGTATAAATTGGCTTTGCAAATATTGTCTGTCCCTTTCAGGTCATTCTGGAAAATATTGACTCCATTAGAGGGACAGTGGCAGAGATAGAGGCCTATAGACCTGCTCTTCCATTAACGGCCTCTGGCGTGCATTCCCTATGCGTGTTCAGGAGAATGGGACGCCTCTTGAGAGAGGCCGAAGTGCTGGAAAAGGTTACCAAGGAGCAAAAAAAGCTTTTAAAGGTTGACCCATTTTTTTTTTTATATCTCCGGGACATATATACAGAATAGATAAACCATTTTGTTTCAACATGTCTATACAGACTTGTATGTTATCCACTTCAGTCAGTCAGATATATTCTAATTGTCAGTGTTATTCAGATATATTCTAATTGTCCTTTTTGCATTGGGGACTGTTTATGGTGATAAAGGTAAGTGATTCAGAATTTCATGTTTTCCCATGAGACAAGTAATATGGATATTTTCTGTTAGAACAATTAATACATCTAGAGCTGATAAAAGCATAAGCATTATTAGGGATGCACCGATACCGATACTAGTATCTGTGCCGATACCGAGTATTTGGGCGAGTACACAATACATGACTTTCATTAGCCTCATGAAATTGATTTAGATAAGTGTCGGTTTGTAGCTTTCACTGTCAGTCATAAACTAAATATACAAATCTTTGTAACCTTTTGTTTTATTTGGTTTTATTGCAGCCAATCATTGGTAAAATGTTAGAGCTTGAACAAGAGCAAGAAAACCTAAAGCACATCTCCAAGAACTTTACATATGAAACTCCGGATATAAAGGTAAAATATATATTTTTATAGAGTTTTATTCATACATACATACCAGGATTAAAATGATGAGAAATCCAAAATAATAGAGTAATAGAAATCTTCCAATGGGTACACTTGTTCTAGTGATGATTTTTGAGGGCTGGGGGGGAGTTTCCTCCCTTTGTAGAGATTTAATCTCACTTCCCCTTGTTAGTATAGGATAGAAGGAGAAGAGAAATCTATCAAGTGATAAAAAGTCTGGCAGATGTTTTATCCATTCCCTACTCTTTCTTAAATTGAAAAAAAAGTTTAAATTTTAGTTATACTTTGAAGAGACTCTGTCGTATTTAAAAGAAAAATGAAAAAAAAAACTACCACCTGCAAAAGAAAACTTTTTTATATTAATCTATCCCACTTCCCCTTCGTCCGACCATTGTACTGTTTAAGAGGCATGGCCGCCTGCATGTGTAATTCAGTGTTTCATCCGGAGATTCCTGAAGTTCCTCAGTCTAACCATCTGCCATTTGTCATTAATTTGGTGTTACTGGAACATGCCTGCTGGTGGTGCTGAAACACTTTTCTTACTGCCTCTAAAATATGTTGTAAAAAATGTTTTATAATACCAGTACACAGATGTTCTTACAACCACCAATCAGATATATCTGGTCTTGGAAGTCTGAATGTGATTGGCGATTCAGGATGCAAAGAGAGAGTGCTAAACAGCAATTCAGAAACTACACTCCTAGTGCATTCCTACTGATCCTGCAAAATCATCTTTGGATGTAGGGGAGCTCAGAGAAGTCAGATTTAAGTAAATGTAATAAATGTCCTGATTTTAGCACAGCTGCAGCATCTTGGAATGCATTAGTAGCTGACTCATTGGTTCCACTTGTTGCCTGGAACTGTTTTCTAGGTTCAACCTTTTACATAGCTAGATAGTTCGAACTATATGATGCCTTGACCAATTTGGTTTCAGCCTATAAAGTTCGGTGAAATAATTGGTGGATATGGGATTCTGACCTTTTCCTGTTGCTATTTGAATAGTACTCTATTTTATAGTTTATTTCCCTAATTTACCTTTTAGAATAGGACTGAAGAATTGAGGAAACGAATGGATGGATTAAACCTGAAGAAGGAAGCGGTTTTACTTTCCCAGAGAAACTCAGTTATTCAACAGCTGGTGCATTTACAACAGGAACCAGAGGACCGGGACTTGCAAGCTCTTCTTTCCCCAGTAACTGAAGGAGTAGACAGTATGGGCAATGAGGTAATAAAAAACGTAATTTCTTAGTTTGAAACCATTAAATGTAATCCAAGCAGATTTAAGAAGACCATAAGCTGCTAAACCAGTGACCAGGGCACTAGTATGCGCTTTCTAAAACTATAACTCCGGGATTCCTACTTTTTTTGCCCAGACTTTCTTGTCTAGTCTAGCATGTTAAAGACTTGATGAAGGGGGACCCCAACCCTGCCATGCATGTTGACTGTTTCATTGATTGCTGTGTCAAATTTGCTTTACCTGTCAGCCATATTTTTGGTACTTTTTTTTTTTTCTACCATCTTCAAAATGTTACACCAAGTGCCAGATCATGGCCCTTTATGCTCTCGAGGACTGCCTTATGAAAGAACTTTCACACCAGATTAGAATACTCAGCTACACTGAGGTCCAGCGCTCCACCACCTCACCTTCTCATTAAGGGCTGGATTCAGTTTAATTTGTGAGGCCACCTTTTTTCAGCCTTTCCTTTCATCGAGTAGCATATGTCAAGTTGCACAAACTTTGTCTCTTGTCTTTTTAGGGCCCTAGGAACCTCTAGTATGAGCTATTTTAGTATCAACTGACAGGCTTTATTGTCATCAGGGTAGTTGGTGGGCACAGGTCATATGTCCAGTTTACCTTTAAGGAAGTAACAAGTGCAGTTTCAATGGGTTTTTTTTTTGTTTTTTTTTTACCTGTGGTGTACCTAGTTCAATGCATTTTACTGAAGAATATCAATCTCCAGTGAATGTGGACATTTTCAGGAATTAGTTGGAATTTAAAAAGAAAATAGATGTGGGTGTTGATAGCAGTTAGGAGATTACTGCTTTGATTAGTTTAGAGCTGTCAGAAATGATGGAAGATGGTTTCTGATTGGTTGCTTTACACCTATTTTTTAACCTGCTCTTTTGGACTACACATTTATGTTTGTCAACATAAAATATGTATTTATCACATTTAGATGCGCTGGAATGACCCCTTCAGTTTGCCATCACTGGTCGAGGAGACGGAGGAATCCTCACTAACTACCGAGGTACAAAATATCTTTGTAGCTAGGATTTTTATTAATAGTTTATATATCGGTTATCTCATGGGAAAACTGCCCCACTGGGGTAATGCATTAGGGACAATCATTGGGAATTTATAATAAAGTATTTCTTGATTTTAACTTTTGAAGAACCACAAGTAAGGTGAAGGGCTTCAAGTGGAACTTAAACCCAATGTAGTTCCAGAGGTTGTTTTTAAACTTCTTAAAACTGCAGCTTACTTTAAACTAATTACTGGTGATCCTGCTGTGAAGATCTTTGTGTGGTCACTTCCTGTTATGGGGTGAAAGTTGTCTCCCAATTCTACTCTTTCATTGTCTTCCTGTCACAATCCTCCATAGTAGAGACTACAAGTGGCTGTGCTTACACACTTTCCTCAGACATGATCCACAGTTGTCACTGGCAGAAAGCCGGTACAGAGCATGTAGACAAAGTGGCTGAAAGTGGTTGGAGATAAAGAAAAATAAACACAAACCAGGACACCTGCGGCTGCCTGAATACCTGATCAGCGACTGCATCTGATTGGAAGCCAAGTATTTTTCATCCAGCTCAGTCGGATGGAATCCCATAAATATAAAAACATTGGTTGATTTAAAATACAACTCCACACAGAATTATGATGGGGTGCTTCATTGAAGGGGGAGAATGGGCTTTTCTAGCCCTTCAACTTAAGTGTAGGTACATGTTTTGCGTGAAATACAGTACAAATGTTGACCCAGTTCCTAGTGTACAATACCATGTTTGCCAACAAAGTAGAACATTTAAACAACTACACCTGCAGTTGACACAGAAAGAATGGTCAGACTGCTAGCAGAGAGTGCTGCCATGTTAGAAGAGAGTGCTAAATATTATCAGAGAGAGTTGCTGTGATTTAAAAAGAAAGCAGCTGTGATACTATATGTCATTAGTGCCCTATGAAGGGTGCATGTTCAATGATTAACAAAGAGGTTGCAGATAACCTGCAATGTTCCATACGGCAAAGGAACTCTGTTGCGAGAACTGCCTGTTAACTAAAAACCTAGTATATTGCCAGTGACTAATAAAGAAGGTGGATTTTCCAGTGGGACTCGGCAATAAAAAGCTCAAGAAAAAGTTGAATCAAGACACTGGACACAGATCCTTAAGCAGTAGAAACAGAGCTTTAAATGAGTTAATTGGCTTAGATTTGGCAGGTCTTCACAAATTGGAGGGGCTCCATATAGCAACATCCGATCCACATATCACCCGGTATCCAGCGCCAGAAAATCACACTTCATCAGTGCCAAGGAAATTCAAGAAATGTAATTCTTGTATTTTCTAGCCCCTGCTGAAGTGAGATTATGTGGCCCATCAAAACATGTTGGCTGCTTTCCCTATTGCCATTTGTGGAATCAATAAAATCCTTTGGACTCTTAAGCTGTTTGTTTGACGACAGTGGGTCTTGATTCTTCCTCGTTCCATCCAAACGAATATAAAAGAAATGTTTGACCAAAGATGCGCTTTAATTTATCAATGACACTTTATTGCCATAAATAAGAAGTCTGAAGTAGCTGCAAGAACCTGACTGACAGAGGTGACTTCTAGCTGAATCTATTTTCTGAAGCAGATCATTAGTAAGAGTGGGCCCTGGATACTCGTTCTGACAGCTGGGATGATTTGTGGACAAACGTGTTTCTTACATGTTGTGTAGATAATTGTCATCTTCACGCCTAATTTTTACAATGTACTTCCAGCCTGCCGGGGATTCACAAAGCTTTAATTAATTCATCTCCTGTGCAAAACTTTTCAGGCAGCGGAGGAAGTGACGGTTGACAGTGAAGCAGTTGACCTTGACGTGAACGCTAAAGAAGATGCAAGCGATTTCTTTATTTCTCCCATTCCTTCGGATCAAATGACCCAGGTAAGAAGATTCCTTTTATTTATGGCCATATTCCCTACAAGAACATGTGATTGGATGATTAGAAACATCACTAACAGACAATCATTTCTTAAAGATGAATGTCTATTGTATTTTAGACATTGTAATAATTGGATATTGAGTGCAGCATGTATGTTTTCTACTCCAGTTTGTTGGTGGCATTGGTTGGTAAGGTATCACCCAAGGTATCATTTATACATGGACCCCTTGGTGTGCTTTGGATTGCACAGATTGTGAAAAAACGTTTGCTCCTGCGCAGGTTTTTTGTGAGGTGTTTTTTTTTTTTTTATTACTCCAATCTTAGCTTTATTTCAAGAGCTACAACCACATTGATATTTCCAGAAGTGTCTGGTGCCTGAGACCCCCATTGCACACTTTGGTTCCTTCACTGACCCCTATTTTGTCCTGTAGTGACATACGGGCTGGCAGAAGGAATCACAACGTGAAGCAGAGGACCAGACATCTGACATACAAGGAGATGTCAGATGTGAAGTGGATGTTTGTCAGCAAGAGAGTGTAGATCGGAGGAACAGGCGGCGGGACAAATGGGTGTAACCCCTCTTCTAATGCAGGTGGTGCAATATTGACATTTACGGAAGTGTCTGGTGCCTTAGCCCTCTGCCACACGCTTTGGTTCCTTCCTCGGACCCCTTTTGTGTCCTGTAGTGATGTAGGGGTGGGCAGAAGGAATCACAATGTGAAGCAGAGAACCAGACATCTGACACACCCAAAAGTGTCAAACATGAAGACAGTGTTGCTCTGTAAGAGAGTGATGACTGGAGGAACGGGTGACGGGATAGGTAGGTGTTAACCCTCTTTTATTGCATGTAGTGCTCTTTTACAAAATTCTACTGGTGTATGTCCAACTTTACATAGGCCTTTATTATCTCGCTCCTGGCAGTTGAACAAAGAAGCGGGAGAGTAAAAGAAAGCTAAGAATGTATTGCTGGGGAGGGAGTCATTAATCAAACCTGTTGCTTTAGCCTACATGGTCATAGCACAGGTTTTTTTCAAGCAATACATGTGGAATCCACTATCTACTTCTTATAGACCTTTATAGTATCACTTAAGTCCTGTGCAGGCACACAAGTGTTTGATTGCACCCTGTTACAGCTGCCACAACTGATGCATATAATTATATGGGCACATGAGGGTAGCGGCATTTGGTAATCACATATGTAGTTTCTGATTCCTTTTTTGCAGTGCTACACATTGGCTGTGTCTTCCCCCAATAAAGCTCACTCCTATTCTCACGCACTAAACACAATGTACTTCCTGCCTGGATGATACTTTATCTCAACAGCTGCTAAGCAGAAAGGCAAAGATAGCACTGCCGTAACAGGAATACCATTGTTGACCACTTTCAGTAATCTGGCTGTTTGCATTCAACAGTTCCTGACTCTGTAAATGAGAAGTATGCAGAGCTGAAGTTCTGGTTTCACTCTCTGTATGCTTGTTTACGGGTAAGTGACCAGGAAGCTAGGGATTTCAGAAACAGGTCAGCCTACAGCTCTGTCATGACAGGTTCCCTTGAATCCATACACCTGCTTGGCAGGAGCAGAGTTAACAAAGTTCTTCCCCCGCTGAGGTAGGTACATTTAGTTCCCATTTTGACTTAAACAGAAAATTTTACCAAATACATCGCAGCTAAAAGCCGTCGCTTGCTATGTTCCCACTGAGCGCCAAACATTGACAACAAAGACATCTTGACATGGGCAACGTCGAATTTTTCTTTCTCTCCCTCTGGAGGTGGATGTGCTAACAAGATCATTTGAGAATGGTGATAAGGATACTTCATCTCGGCTTCTGCTGAAAAATAGATGAGCCAAGGGATAGGAAAGGCAACTCTTAAAAATCTTTCTGCGCAAGGAAAAAAATAAATCCCCATCAGTTGGCAAGATCATTCTGACATGTATCTGTACGGACAATTTAATACCTTCTTATTGCATGAATGGGGAACACGATTTCACAAAACACTTAACACAAGATGCTAATTTTCTTTTTCAGTTTTTTTGTTTTGTTTCGTTTCTTTGTTTCTTTTTTTCCCAGTAATATCGAGTGCTGCTGCAAGAAATTACTAGTTTTTTTTTGGTACTCAATGTCACCATGCACATAGTCTTTTTATGTATGGAGGTTTATTTAAAGGGGACTTGAACAGTGGAAGTTGTGCCCCAAAAAGGCAAGCAGAGGGCAAAGGACTAGCCACCGCTATTGCTGGTGGGTAACTGATCTTTCCATCATTCTCTGTGTGTCTCTGCGGAGGCGGCCATCTTGTCAGAGCTGAAGGACTTTGCTTTCTCATATCATAGCTGCCTTCCGGTGATGGAAAAATAAACAGCAGCAGGAGAGGTTCAGAAATGACAGATCTACATAATGAGTTAAGCAGAAGCAGGGAGATACTTGCATTGCAGGAGTTCAGGTACAGCTTCCTATCCAGCAAGGAAAACAGAGAGCACCACAGTAGCGACATCACCAAATCTCACTTTAAATCTGATTAAACTAACAGTCAGATGCATCAGTGCCTTAGATGATCTCATACTGCAGATATACAGTTATGAGGATGAAAGAAGTTGTAAAGTCCCAGCATATCCTAACCTGTTATAACATCAGCATTGCAATAGGAATACATATTAGAGTTGTTTTTGAAAATGCAATCAAAGTTGAGATGTAGTTCAGAATGGAGGCTGTGTGAGAGTTTTGACACAAGAAAGTGCATATTCACAGGGCTGAGTGAAATAATTGTGTCCGTGCATTGAGGAAGTACCTCCTATGGACATCTTCAATAAGTACGTTTACAAACTTCTAGATCAATGTGGTTATTAGGAGCAGGATAGAACTTTAATATAAAAATATATATTTATTCTTAGTTTTTGACCACTGATACCCTTTATTATACAATTTTTTTCAGGAGGAATTGTAAACAAAAGGTAAACCTTTCAGGGTACTGCTTGTGCACAGTAAACATTTCTAGATCTTCCCTATCACAGCAAATCGCCACACTTTGAGATGAGCTCCACTTTAATAAGGCAATAAAGGAAAATGTGATGTATAAAGTAATATATAGAAATATACAGAACCTGGCCTTGGGGCGGCAGGGGGAGTAAATCCGGCCCTGACTGTATATGCAGTATATAACATTTTCTTATTGTCACAGGCAGGGCTCTGTTAACCCTCTAGTCTAACATTGTTTTGTAACTGTACTGTTTCCCTTTTATATAGTGAAGCGCTAAGAAAAAACAAACTTGTATAATAATAATTGTTCTTTGACTTATAATAATGAGCTTGGTTTTTATTTCGGGGAGGTCCAGCATGAATGATGGCAGTTTTTTAACAAAGATTTTGTTCTGCCTGCTGATTTGGAGATATTTAAAGAGGACCTTTTCACTCAAAAATTAAATTCTACCAATGACATCCCTCTCTGTATGATGATTAATAATAACATAGACATGTCAGGTGTAAAATGCTGTGATTATGAAATACTTACACTTGCAGAGCACTCACCTCCTGAAAGTGCAAATGGGTTTAGTTTGCCAAAGCAATGCACACTGGGATTGCCTTGTTATCAGCAGTGTATTGCTGGGAAATCTCATCTGTAATCTCACAAGATCTCAGGGAAAAGCATTTTCCTCCCTGACATGATGTGCATGGTCACATGTCCTAGTCACATGTCTAGTCGCGTGCCAGAAATCCAGGAAGTAAAAGGAGAGCTAGTAATCTGCCCTTAGTAAACATGGCCACTGTGGGAAGACTGGGAAAGAAAAGAGAAATAAGGAATGCAAAGAATACAAAGCCGGCAATTATCTAGAAGTATGTGTTTGTAGATTGTTATTACTAAACATTTATAAAGGTGTGTTTGTTGTTATTTTAAAGATAGGGGTAAAGGTCCGCTTTAATGGTTGTAGATGTGTCAGGATAGAAGTAGAAGGTCTGACACTGCTGATCTCCTATGGAAAACACTTGCTGCCTGGATGATATTTTGAACCTCCCAGAACAAACAGCTGTTTTTTGTGTTATTATATGCTCAAGGTGGGGAAATAAAGAAGTTCAAAGAAAACCTGTTCTGTGTCCACGCAAAGTAACAGGAGTGTGTTAAAGTGTATCTAAACATAAGAGCAAAAATTTATTTCATTGTAGCTCAGTAGTCCTTAGATGTAGTGGTTGCATTGGCTTTTTTTTCTGGCATTTGTCCCCTTTATTTTCACCTTGTAATCCTGCCAGTAAAACACTTCATGTATAAGTGTGACAAATCTAACTCAGTGTACTTCATTTATGAAGGAGGAATATTGGCACCCTAGGACAGGAAGTGTGTTAGGACTATGCAACACCTTCTATTCTACTTACGTCAGTAACATAGGGGGGTTCTGTAGTCTGCAGAGGTGAACTGGGCAGAGCTGATAATGGTGTATGAGATAACACAGCACAATGTAGATGGCAGCTATGGATTTCTGGAAGGATCAACAGTTCTTTTCTGGCACTTATCAAACAGATATAAGAAAACACTCCTATATGTGCCATACCAAAGGAAGCAAGAATGGGAATTTAAATGGTAATTTCACTTCCCTCAGGAGATTTTGGGGAAAATTGAATTACCCTGATCAATCTTCCCACTCTCCCCCTTCCCACTGCTCTTACCTTTTGAATAAACACTGCTTGTGTATGTAAAAAATATGTCTTTACATTTTCTCTACATCTTTGCCCAAGCACTTGGTTATCATGTTTCCGAACAGCTCTTAACTCTCTCAGCTCAGCTTCCCTGAAGCTCCTGTCCAGTACAAGATGACAAGGGACAGAGCAGTCTCCAGCAGCGGCACATCTACAAGCTTGGAGGAGCATGGGGGATGGGAGAGGCTTCCCTTGCTGTGACTGTGTGCACAGCTTACCAGCACACACAAGGGTGGCTCCATAGGACCCTGCAAGGGAAAGGAGCCATCCTAAAACAGCGTATCAGTCCCAGTGCTCAGGAGGCTGGCTGATTCTGAACAAATCTAAAACATTTAAACATGAAGGAGCAGCATCCATTGTAAGTAATTTAACCATCATTTAAAATGGCTTAAAAATCTTTTGATTGTAAGATCACTTTAAGCCAAGAAAGGTGACAGCAGTGACGCTAAACAGGTAACATTTATAGAAGCGCGTTCCCAGATCTCACCCGCCCACTGGAAAGCAATTTGCTGATGAGACAGTTAATGTAATCGGTTTGATAAAAATGGAAGAGGATTTTTCCTGACGGAGTATCCAGAGCAGGTCTGAGTGTCGGTGTGCTCTCTAGTTAATTATTATTAGTGTACGTAGCTCTTACCAGCCTCAGCAATGTGTGTTAAACTCTGCATACCTTCCCCTGATATAGCTGTAGGGAAGATTTCCGTTTACACAGTCTGCATTGTGTTGGCGCCTTTTCTTAAGGTTGCAGCCAGGTACTCGGGAATACAGTTTAGAGAATCGATAAATAAACACAGAGTCACTTTTTGTCATAACGGGATTCAGAAACTGAACTTATACAGGGAGCACAGTTGAAGTCTTGGCTTTCTTCCTTCATCCCTTATGTTGGCCGTTACAGTTACAACCCAGTCGAGCCGGTTTGTGTTTTATTGTATGCTGGGCTGAACGACACCTGTAAAAGACATTTGTAAGTATTTGTAATTCAGGCAACGGAAGTCACTGTGCTGAGTTATTGGTGACGTTTTAAAGGAAATCTGTAATTGTCTTTGAAATGTTTAATAAAATATATAATATATACAGCTTACTGTAGCTATTGAGCTTCGTTTTGCATAGAGTGGGAAGGGTATGAACACCCATCACTGAGGCTGCATTCACACATGCATCCGTGCGGAAGACCGTGCGGGACGAAAACGCTAATGTTTTTCAATCTGCGCAGATGCTGCTCATTTGCGGAATCCGCCGGATTATAGCGCTGGCACTATTTCGGGGGCTGCACGGTTTCGTGCTGCATGGTCGCCCCAATGGCGGGAACGATGCACATTGGAGTACATTGTCTTTTGTGTTTAGAGCGGCTCTGTGCGTATCCATACAGCCGAATACGCGCGGACAGCTCAGGTGTGAATGGAGCCTTAGTGTCCCAGTGACGACTGTTAGGGAAAATCTGCAACTGTGACACAGATGATAATAAAAGTGGACAGTGGTTCTTGCCTTTACCCTGCTATACCAGGAAAATAAATAAATATATATATATATATATATCTATTACACACTGTGTGGCCAGATTATTATGACCACCCCATCACTACTTCGTTGGGCCACGAGATTACTTCATTGGGCCTCTTCGTGACTCCACGAGATGTTGAAAGGTGATGTGAGGAAACTGACACTGCACTGTTGCCCTTCTGTTGTCTTGTACCAGTCTTGCCACTCTCCGTTCTGCCCTAACATTGACTAGTCGCTGACGGCCACAATTCGCACGTTCAGACCCAGATTTTCGGCTGACAGTCCAGTCTTTAAACACTTTAACAATGAGCCCCTCTTGATATATATATACACACACACATACATACACTGCTCTATTTTTCTCGTTCAACCCGCAGGCTGAAAGAAAAAAATTGAGCCAATTCCTCCAACACTACCAGCGTGACGATTGAGAAGTCCAGGTGTTTGCATTCATTCTGACAGCGGCCGCCTTCAGACTACCTGAACTGAGCCGGCGACTCATTGACTGCTGGCTCTGATCGTACAAAGATTTTCCAGTCACCTCCTTCGATCAGCTGATCGAGGAATGCCGGCCGAAAAGGTGCCGACAGCGGCACACACTGTGTAGATTTTGTCCGGGACTTCCGATATTCACACAGTGTATGGGCACCCTAAGTAGGGCTGCCCCATCTGTATATATATATAATTACAACCTATAAGCAGAAAAATATGTTTCTGGAAACAATAACACACATTGATAGGAATTTTTACATTAAGCTAATCTTAAAAATCCCTAAGGAAAGTATACATTCACTTCAATCATCCATGCTGAGTTGGCTCTTTTGTATACTGAAGAAATATACTTGAACAAATGCAAATGATCTGCCAGGAACCTGTTGACATTAGATCACATGAGCTGTTTTATTTTCCTCCTGTCTACACCTGGGAATACAGTGCTCCTTCTGCTCCGCCGTATGCTCGCCATGCCACATTGTTTTGAGTTGGTGCTTGTTTGCTTTATCCGGGTGACTCTCTCTCCCTCTCTCTCACATACCTGCTTTGGGCTTTCTTTCAGGAACAGCTGAAGAATGCCGCCACTACGTTGGGCAGCGTGAAGCCGGAGATGATCCTACGCGATTGTCAGGGGAAGGTAACAGAGGTGGAGCTCTGGCTGGAAAGGGTGAATCTGTCATTAGCAGAGAGCAAACAGGAGCCAGATATGCGGCAGAGCTTAGAACAGAAGCTAATTGACTTTCAGGTAAGAAGAACAGCAGTCACCGTGCACAGTCTAACCCCTTATGCTTGAAGGGTGCCTTTTTTACTGGATACAGAGTGTACAGTTCCAGTTGTAAAAAATGAAAGGGCAGGTTAAAGGTGGCAAACACCTTGGGCTTTAAAGCCTCCCTGCCGTGCCTAAGACTCATTTATTTCAGATTACTCTTTGTCTGCCCAATGGTGTTATTCTAATGTAGATAGTTCTGAAAGGGTGCTTTCTGAATGGCCCAGTTGCACAGGTGGAGTTGGGAATTTCTAGGAAGATTTAAAGTCTGCCAAGATTTATTTTATTTTTTTACAGTGGGGTCATCATTGTGGGTATGCGAGTCTCAGGGTGAGTACTTTCAGGTTATGAGACCTCCACAGATCGTTACACCAAAACTGCCAACATACTTCCTGTGGCAAGTATCACAGACTGGAAATAAGCAGTAGCATAAACAATAGACGGAAGCCCCACATTTGGCATTTACCATGAACCTCACATTTAGTTTTTACTGCCATGTTAAAGCTGAGCTCCAGGCATACAGAAATACAGTGTGTGTGTTTTGTGTATATACACCGAGTGTATGTATGTGTGTGTAAACCAAATGAAAGCCAGAATAAGGAAAACGAATGCAGTAGTGCAGCAGTCATCACATGTAAGGATGTATGTATATATATATATATATACACACACACGCAAGCTACACAGGCATTCAGGAAGTCGGCTCCATGCTGTTTGGCTGGCTCCATGCTGATTGGTCTGGAAGCCGTCTTCCCAGCCAATCCACATCGAACCGGCTGGTTGGCCGTATTGAGCAGGGAGGGTATAAGAACATTCACCTTCTCAACTCAGTGGGCCATTTTTCTAGAAGCTCCCTGCCCAATTAGAGAGTGGAAACAATGATAGTGTGCACATATTCATACTGCATTAGTATTTGATAAATCCAACTCGCATAGCACTGACCTGGGCAGTATTAGACTGGGAATGCAAACCAGCCATGTCAAATAAAGCAAACTAACCCATATTTATGCACATCAACTTTGCTAAACATATGAGAGTAAAGCTGGCTGTTTGGCCGGCTCGAGGCTGATTGGCCGGGAAGCTGACTTCCCAGCCATTCGGCATGCAGCTGGCTTCCAGGCCAATCAGAAAGCCGGGAGGCGGGTCATAACCCACCACCGGGCTTCCTGATTGGCCAGAAAGCTGGCTTCATGTTCCCTGCCGGTCAGAGGAAATCTCCATCTGACCAGAGTTCCAGTATTGGGGGCGAGTATTGGAGCGTTTGGGTGAGAAGCAGCACAAGGAGCAAGGAACCAATCAAGTGTGTTGCAGTGCAAGAAACATGCTGATAGGAGTAGAAAGATTGAGAGATGAACTACTGTGTGCTGTTTCTACTTTTAGTTTGAGGGGTGGAGAGGAGACCTGTAAGTGAAACAGCAGCAGAGAAAGATCAGGTCCTCTTTCCAGACAGCGACAGTTGTGTTTGCATGGCAGAGCTGTGAAAGTTTAAGAACTGGATATACAGAAATACAAATCCTTTGGCAGCTAAAAATAGCTCTTATATGTATTTCATATATGTATTCATCTGTTTTCTTGGAGTTTAGCTTTAAATCAAATTCTCGTTTTTTTATGCTTTGTTCAGCAGCATTTCATTTATTTTTCATTGGCTCCTCCTGGATTTAACAGTTAAAAAATGGGAGAGGTGAGAGACATAGGAACCATTTAGGTAAATGGAAGTACACCCCCAATGTAACTTGGCATGTGAATTAAATTTGATTTTTTTTGTTTTTTTTGTCAGTTATCTAAATGGTTTCTTTAAAGAGATGAAAGTACGGTATAGGCTTCTTCTCAAGAACAAGATAAAAGGCGTTTTTTAATGAATTGATTTGTTAATGAATTATCCTAAGAAATGTTTTGTAGATGTTACAAATCTAAATTGCATATTGTTGTATGGCTCAAAGTTCATTCCTGTAATTAGAGATCAAAGTACATAGTACAGTATATGAAATATACAGACATGCTGCATGTGTGTGATAACAATATACTAGAACTAGAAAGACTCTGCAGAGGTTTGTTACATTTAATGTTCAGAAATAAAAATTATATTCTAATATAAAAAAAGCTACTGACCAATTTTCAAACAAAACAAGTTTAACGCAAGTGCTGCTGATACCTTATAGATGTTTCAGGCCAGATCAGTTTCTCTTTCTAAAGGCATAACTGCAGTAAGACGGATGTCAAGGTCTTTTGTTAATGTGGTTTGGCAGCTGGAAAGAATCAGTCCAGTATTTTATGTTCATGATCATGCCCAGGCACAATCTGTTTTGTCTAAGCCCATATTGTTCTACAGTGTCAGATCAGTACTGAGAAATGCTGCTTAGCACACAGTTAGCCAATGCACATGGGAAAAGATGATGTAACTGCACTAGAAAAATGTAGTTCGGTGGTCCGTACAGTGGCTAAGTTAGCTATGTCCTTTAGTGCCTAAGATCATCCAGGTGATAGCACATGCATTCCAATAGGAGAATTACTTACATGCTGGAAGGTCACTGCAGAGCCAATCACTGATCATTCCTTTTTCTATGGAGAAAAGAAGAGATAAACCTTTTATCGGGTATGTTCTGTGAGTGTATACCGGCCAGATAGGGCTCCAAGGGGGTGTGCAGCTTTAAACAGAAATGGAAGCTCTCTCACCACCCATCCTAACAGATGTGTCCATTTGTGGCCATTCTATTTATTTACAATTACAGGTATTTATATAGTGCTGACACCTTACACAGTGCTTTTTCTTCTGTACATTGACATCATTCCCTGCCCTCAAGGATCTTACAATCCAAGGTCCTTATCTCACATACTAGGACCAGTTTAGACAGGAGCCAGTTGTCCTACCATCATGTCTTTGGAGTACTCAGAGGAAACCCACACAAGTACAGGTAGAACAAGTAAACTCCATGCAGATAGTGTCCTGGCCTGGATACAAACCAGGGACCCATTGTATCAAGGCAGGAATGCTATCCAATAAGCCACTGTGCTGCCCATAAGCTGTTGGCCGTGCAGCACTGCATTTCTTTGTTCAATTCCTTTCAGGTACATTTATGTTCTCCAGATCTATGTATGGGTTTCATCCAGGCGATCTGACTTTCTCCTATTGTCAATAATACTGGTGGGGTTCTTCTGGTTCCACCCAAAATGGCCACAGTGCTTGTATCTATATAAATCCTGTATAATAATAATCTGGATGACTGTACTGCGGACATTAGATTGTAAGCTCTTGATAAAGACGATTCTGAATGTGACCAAATGGGAGGTTTGTCAGCTCTATAAATATAATGAAATATAATAATGTAATAATAAAATAACAATATAATGTCATAATAATAGAACAATGCAATAATGTTAATGTGCTTGATATTTTGTTCTTCTTTACCACTTTTTAAGATTCTCACGGCTATGAAGGTAAAATATCCGATTATATAATCAAGTATCAATGAGGACATTGCTTATGTATCTTCTTTTGTTTCTCAGAAAACCTTACAAGAAACCGAAAAGAAAATAAACCGATTGCTGGAAGGTGCAGATGCAAACAAGCAAGGGCCCAGTTCTCTGTTAGAGGATGCAGAGTCCTTGTCAATAAAGCTCAAGGCTCTGAAAGTCAGTTTGGAGAACTTACAGGCAATGCTGCAGGTCAGACCCGATGCTGAACAGGTATTATGGGACATTTGGGACCAGATTTATGTTTTGTATTAACTTTTACCAAACAGCTTATGTTTGTGGCATTTTCCAATTATCTGAATTTGCTGAATGTGACTATTTTGAGAGTCCCCTCTCTCTGTAGAATTGGTTAGCTGAGTCAGGTGTCTATTTTAAGGCATCCCTACTACATATTTGAGTTTATTACCAGTCTTCCGTCTAACCTTTCCCATCCCTCCAAACCAAGCCATCTCATTCCTGCTACGGAAGTGGTGGAATGGATACCAATAATTTTAGCAGATATAGAAGAGACAGATGAATGCAGTTTTGTAACCATTAATTAAATTTATTTTTTAACTGCAAGCAGTGTAAGTATCTAAGTTTGATCTGTGATCTTGAGTATCAGCCTCTTGCAGTCTCTGTATAGCAGGATGGGTGTGTGAGAAGAAAACAAGACAAAACTCATATTGGTATGGGGGAGAGCAGAATGACAGATGAGCTCATCACTGTGCTGCATCTCCTCACTGTCCAGTGACAGGCGGATGCAGGTTCAGAATTAGATTAGACGGAGGACATTGCTTTCAACTTAAACAATTAATGTGCAACTCATTGACCTTAGCCCTCTCACCTGGGACTTGATGCCCATCGAGGTCCTCTGCTTGCACAGTACTGACCACATATTTCTTAAAACAACATTTTACTGTGTCATCCTTTCCCACATCGCCCCCAATACACCAAGGAATGATGTGCCCTGGTAATGGGTAGATCTTGTCCCACAACTTTTGAATTTGCTACTCTTTCCATTTTCTCTGGACCTCTGAAGGCAGCAGAGTTTTCTCCTTTCTGTGGGAGGAGCTTTGATATCCTAGACATTGGAGGATGCCCTCCACTCCACTAATTACAGCTTAGGTTATGGAAGTTAACCCAATTATGCCTATGAAAGAACTTACAGCCCGACTTTATGATCTCTACCCAACCTTTATTGATACGTGGAGCACCTGCATTGACTTTTGTGGTTCCAACCGTCTTCAACACTATCTGTCTTGAACTTTATGGTGTGTCTGAGGCTTTGTGTTCTCAGTGAGCCCCGGCTAGAGCTCCTCTACTTTTATTTAATTTTTTTCCTTCCGTTTCCTTTTGTTTGGACCCCTTTTTTGTGTGCAGTTCTGGGGTGTGTACCTCTAGAAAGCCTCCCACTCGGTTTGTTACTTCAATGGGGCAGAGACTGTGGCCCACCTTGACCTTAGGGATTTCCTTAAGGTTTATCTGGTGCTTGTATTGATTACACCAGCACAAGTCTGTTTATGCTTTCTGACTTTGACCATTAATAGTTACTTAGGTATGGCTTAGGTATATCCTGTATTCAGTATACCTCCAGGGGTCGCTATTTGTGTGTGTAATTTTTTTTCTTTTTCCGTTTGTATATTCTTGGAACATTTTATTAAACCTATTCTTTAAGAAAAAAAACTTGAGAGGTTATAACCCTTCCCCATTCTAACCAAAACCAAAGAAACGATTTCCTCTGTGTGTACAATTGGCTCTTTCACTAACCCCAATGCCATTCAAGAAAGAATTAAGTTTTCTGCGGCTGATAGCGTGCAGAATAATGAACACCAACATTATACTGATTTTTATTGGTTGGTCCTCTGTGTAAAAATATAAGCTGCAGTTTGATTGGATGAAACGTGTTGTAAAACAGTGTAGTGTTGGAATTATTTATAGCAAAAACAAACAGCTGTTCATTGAAAAAGCCATAAGATATTTGTTGATCAATTTTCTCATTTAAATTGCTCTGTGGTTTTAAAGCAATGTATGACTGAAATGATTCAGTCATACATTGTTTTAATGTCTAATGATCGTGTCTGTAACAGTTTTATAGCAATAACGAGATTAATATTTCATCTATGATTAAGATAGAAATAAAATGCTTGGACTCTTTATTAATCCAGCTTTCGGATAAAGTATAGTTGTCGGTTTTACTGCTAAAGCACAGCAGTGGTAACTAAAAGATTGATATAATTGACTGAACTAGTAATGTATACAGTAACAGTAGAGAGTAACCTGCCAAGCGGACCAGTCATGATTTCTTTCTCTCCAGGTAAAAAGCACAGACCCTGCCGATAAAAAACACCCCACAGAGAAGATGGTACCCAGTCAAGAGATTGTTAACACTTTACAGACCAGGTATAACTGATTTTAAGGGATAAATATTTTGGATCATACCAAGGTTCAGTGATAAAGTTGGTACAAATGGAAATGAAGATGTCATCTCGAGCAACCAGTCAGATTCTGGATGTCAGTGCAATCAAATACCTGAATGTTTTTAGTAGTGCAGGTACCCTGATAGGGTTGTGTGGCTTCTCCATATCAGTGCAAATCTGAGACTTGTGTCTGCTATAATTTAGAATATAATTTGGACTCCTTTGACTATCCAAGTGCTGGTGATTTTGTTGGTACATGAGTGGTCCTTCGACATTCATCTATTATTATAAGTTGACAAGCTGCATCCTACTCCTTTTGTATTGTAAGCTGTAAAGCTGCAAATAGATGTAGGACTTTGTTTTTAAATATGTTTGAATATTTAGGGTTCTCCCAGATACCAATCAAATTCTTATTTTCAATCTACCCATACTGCATTGGGAATGCTGAAGGGGTAATCTGTTGGCAAGTAGAACAGTTTTTGCATCACATATTTTGGTAGACAAAGCCAATATTTGAAAATTGGCATTCAAGGTTAAAGCTTTTAAGGATCGGTCCTAAAATGATGCCAAGACTAATGATCCTTATGTTTTTTTAGGAGTGCTGCTGGGGAGGTGGTCTCAGGCCAGACCAGGCCTAGGGGTAAATCTTCCCTCCCAGAGGACATTACCTGGAGTAAGTGGCAGTATCTGCAGAAGGAGCTGTCACACCGGACCAAAGCAGCTCCTCTCACATCCACTAATGAGCCTGAAGTAAGTTGTGTGTGTGTGTATATTTATTATTAGGAAATAGCATATCATCTCTCATTAAGTAGTTCTCCAAGATAATTAGAAATTCTCTAGCATTCATTAAATTTTTTCTCCATTTTTTTATTTTAAAAACATTTAAGTTGAAATCT